TCCAGAATTTATTGGCCGGTCCTTTTTGACCTAATGGGTTGCAGTTGACCTCATGACCAGCTACAAGCATGTTTTGCATTAAAATAAACTTGCATGTGAATGCAAAACCCATCCGACGTGAACAAAAGCCCATTGACAAAGGCCCCAAAAATAAACTGGCTGAAATTTTCCAAAACAGACTACTCCACATAACTGCAATCAAGGGTGCCTGGTAAAACAGCTTTCAGGCAACAGTCGTCCCTGCAACCTAGTTAAAATGCAGTATCTGCAAATACACTTGTGCATAAGACAGGCGTTGTGTACTTCTGCAAGCTGTAAGCGAATGTGAACCTTGGCATTCCAAAGCACTTTGGATTACATGCAAGGGCTGAGCTGCAAAAAAAAAATGCTACTACTGCACCACTACCCCTAATTAGTCTTAAAGCATGACTCCACTTTTGTTAAATAAAAAAAAATCCTGTCAAGGTCCAGTATATTGTAAGGATTTTATCAAATGTCATTGCAGACTCATTCCATCTGTTTAGCAGAAACTCGCATTACATTGCACTGTATTTTACACCCTGGATGCCATGTGGGAGAGTGCTTGTTCTAGTCACATGATCAGTCCCCCCGGGTTGTAATGGTTTCACCTGTAGTTTTTCCCCCACCTTATTATGACAACTGCAAAAGCAAGAAATTACATTTCTGGGGGCATTCTGTATCAAGTGTACAAGAATGAGACATCTGAATGGTTTAGCAGTTCTAGGAAATGATAGCTGGCTGCAGACTGAAATGGCAAGATGACCCAACTAAAATCACAAAATGGTTTGTGCAGTTATATAGGTTACATCTTTTTAAAAGCACATTTTTGACAGGGGAAAAAAAAAAAAGAGAATCTTCCTCTTGCGGTTACTTTCATTGCAACATTTTAGCAAACTTAATTGCAGAAGCTACATCCTGCTGCTTGTATTGGAATATACACAAGGATTATAGATGCTATATTTCCTGTATCCATATCCGGTTGCTGGTGGTCTTTCTGGTGTTGTACTGAGAAGAGCTGCCAGGGGTGTAGCTCTAAACCAACTACATATCTAGGGATGATTAGTGCTCCAACAGTCTACAGTCCCCCTTACACTTTGCCTCTTTCACATTCTTTGTCAATTTAGAAAAGTTGGCTGCAGAGATGCGAAGAGTGATGTTAATACTACAAAAAAGAAAAAAAATCACAAAAAATGGATAGTGCAGCATACTAATTCTACAGAAGTGGAGTAACCCTTTAAAAATGTTTATCTTCCTATAACTGAAAACACATTAAAAAGTGCTCTGGTTTGAATAAACTGAAATCTATTTACAAATTTGTTTTCATTCAGTATGTGATGAGTAAACAGTATTTGCAGTCATATTCAAAAGTGGTATTTTGTCCCATTATGCCATCTCTTACTGTGCCTTTCCCCACTTCCTGTGCTAAAATCCAGGCAAATCTTAAAACACAAATTATTGCATTTATCAAAAACATTTAATGTATTTAAAAAAAAAAAAATCCAATCAGTGTCAATTACTTGAATTGGGCTTGATTTGATGAGGAGAGGGAAAGAACTGAGAGCCAATTCAGTGTACTGTATTGAAATAGGGCATGCAAGTAGACCTTATCAGTCTACTGCTGCTTCCAGTGTCCTAGTCTATAGGCTGGGGGTGGAGAGGAAGGTGGAAGGTAAAAACAGCTTCCATGTAGGTCATCTGTGTATTTACCGTATTTTGCGCTCTATAAGGCGCTCCGGACCATAGGACACAGGGGTTCTGTGACAGCTGTAGTTAGTCACAGCTGAGACAGGTGGCACTGTGATTACAGCACCACGGTCTCAGTAAATCACACCCAGCAGACGAAGAACGGACGTTCTTAGTCTGCTCATGGGGCTCTATGGTGAGCTCCTATGCCGTGGTCAGGGGTCCGCAAGAGGAGCGGGGGACCCCGAAAACCACGGCGGGGGGCCCGGGCAGTATCGCTGCCGCTCAATTTGATACAAGTGATCTAATTAGATCTGTTTCTGTCATTCATTTCAATTCACCAAATGGATTCACCCCTACCACTAAAATGATTGATGTAGATGCTACATGCATCTAAGAAACAGGTTATTGTTATAGAAGCTCACTTTCACTCACACACTCGTAAAGAAGAAAATGCAAGGCAGGCTAGGTGTCAATCAAGTTAAACAAAGAAAATAGAATCTATTTTAATAGAAAAAAAAAAAAAGAAAAAAAAGCCAAAGTGTAGATTAAAGCACACACAAACACACTCACTGATATATCTATGCCTGAATTCCAAAGTCCATATTCTCAAGTTGAATGAAAATCTTTCAAAAGATATTTAGAGAAGAGCTCTAAAATGTATGAGGTAATATTATTTATTTAAAAAGGAGAAAAAGTGTATGTGTACACGTCTAATACAGATGTAGATCTCAAACAGATCCCATAACTCTAAACTATCTTTGATTTTGTTTTTGAGAATATGGACCCATGGCTATAACTAGACATTTGAGGTGACTTACCTTTGCACATGACATACATGATACCAGATGCAGATTCAAAGGCAGTACAAATTCCCGAAAATACCTGGGCATGGATAAGCCAAAGAACTAATTTTACATCATCATGTTTTTGCTTTTTTTATCTGGTAAACTTTCCAGATGATTTCAATCTTTAAATAATGAAGGGCAGTAATTAAGGCAGGTAATCCTGTCCTTTTAATTCTACCTTATAAATTCTTAAAAGCTGCATTCATATAAAGTGATCTCTGTCTAATGCTGGGCACACACCTTACAACCATCGCAAGACTTTTGTCTTGCGATGGTTGAAAGGTAATAAAAAAAAAAAAAAAACCGTACGATCTGCCTATCTTGGACAGGCAGATCGTACTTGCGATGATTGCAAGCCGCGCCCCCGAGGGACGGGCCTCCAATGACCGCAATGCCGAACTGGCAGTGTGCGCTTGCGCACACCGGCCCGTCTGGCTTTTATCTTACGAACACACGTACGATGTTCGGTGGGTTTTCGAACATGTTCGTAAGTTAAGTCGTGCGACCTTACAGTAGTAGAGGTCGCACGGCTTCCACACACCTTACGATAATTGTACGATCGCAGGATTTCCTGTGATTATTGTAAGGTGTGTGGGCACCCTAAAGCAGGCCTTACACTGATCACATTTCAGCTGTTTCCTGCATGCATTGGTTAAAATTGTCAAGCTGGGGGGTGCAGAGAGGGCCACCCACAGAAATAGAGAGATAGATAATTTTGAGTTTTCAACTTTTCTCAATGGAGCTGGGTGGAAAATTGTCAGCCAACTGTGACTGCAGCCAAACATCTGCATTCACTGTGTATTCCGTCAGCCACAGGGGGCAGCTGTCAGAATACAAATAGTCGGCAGGGGAGATTCCTCTATCCACGCTGTTTAGTAACTAACAAACAGTTGTTTTAAAGTGAACCTAAAATTTAAAACTTAAAGTGAAGACTGGAATGATAGAACATCTAGAACGGTGAATTGTGCCTAAGCAGTTCCTGGAAAATGTTACCTTTTGCCTTGAATTCCTACTGTAAAATAGCACTGCACTTCCTGTGCCTTGAACCCCATAGCTGTACATCTGCCTGTGTGAGCATACAACACTGCTGCCTGATAGATAATCTCATGAAATGAGGTGATTTCACTGCTGTGCTGCTCACGCTTCTCCTTGCTGGAGAGGAAGCTGCATCGGAGGTCCTGTGCTGCAAGGATCTCCCTACTTCTGATTCATTCTGTGCTTCCTCTGCCTCCCCTAAAAACATCTTTGTTCATTCCAACATCGGGGGAAGGCTATGAAACTTTGACAGGAAGAAGCAAAGCCCTGCTTTTACCAAGATGGCCAACTCTACAAAGGGAACAGTGCAAAACAAGGCATGGCAGGTAAGTAATGAGGGGAAAACAAAGAAACACATTCAGCTACAGGGAAGCAACAAGCAAAACTGGTAACTAATACTTTGCCCTGCACTTTCGTTTTTGGGATCATCTGCCACAGTTTAGGTTCTTTTCAAAAGGTGCAATCACCAGATTTGTCATCCTTTTAAAGATTGGGAGTCAGGGTGGCAATATAAGCATGCCTGCTCAGTCATCAGTGACTTGCCAAGAAGAAAAGAAAGGATAAAAAAAAAAAAAAAAAAAAAAAAAAGAAGGATGAGATCTTTAGAACTTGCAAAAAAAATAATTTAAAAAAAGGCAACAACCATATTTCTGTTCCGACAAGTTCACTTTAAATGCAAATAGCTTAGCAGAATTTTTCTTTAACATTTCCCACGACAATTGTATTGAAAATTAGTCTTTGGCTTTTGCAGTAGAACAACTCACTAAGACGCCAAATGGTACAGCATGGTAATGCTTTATACTGCCAATGAGTAGCAGGTGGCTGGAGTGTCAAATGCAGTGAAGCCTGAATTACAATAAACAGTATTCGTTTGATTATCCAGTATACTATGCTAATACATTGTTCTTTTGCTGATGCGTACATGAAGCACAGTGTGTTATACTATACAATGTTCAATCATATTTGCCACGCAAAGGCCAAAAATTGCTTTCGTAAGAAACACTTGGAGATTAGTGCTAGCAAGAGAAGGCAAAATGATAAACTATCTTGCAGCTGAATACAATTAATGTCGTTAATAAAATATATTTAAAATGAGATGATAGAAAATATATAAAGGATCTCAATTTTCTCTCTGGCTTGGATTTATCCGATTGAAGTGAAACACGATAAACTGGTTTTCCAAGCAGCCTTTTGCTAAATCTGAGCTTGTGCAAGCAAGCACAGACCTGTAAACCACCTAAGATTAAATATAGCTTACATTTCCGTTGTATAAAAAGTGAGTATGGTAGACAATTACTGGAGAGGATGAAGACCATTTGAAACTTCATTTGGTACATGTCCCCCAAACTCTCCAATATTGGCATCCAGAACAAACTGTGTTTCAGGTAAAAGCATCAATTAAACCAGTTTAAAAAACAAATGGCAACACAAAAACAAACACACAGCTTTGTACAGTGAAACAGGTTTACGATTTACATACAAATGAGACATGATAATTTCTAGTGAATCTCTTCTTCCAGTTCTCTGTCCTTCAGCCCTGCATTGCTTCTTACATCATCAAACGAGTAAGACGCAATTAGCTTCCCGTTCTTAAACACCGTATGGAGAAGATCCTGTGTATAAACATTACTGTTAAGAGGCCATCCTTCTAATAACAAATTTAACAGCAGAGATTGCATTAACAAAGGGCCAGACTGCACACACAGTGACTGTAACCCTACTGCACCAAAAAAAACTACATAAAAAGCACAGATCAGGACATGAAGTGTGTTAGGGCTATAGAACCCAAACACAGACCAAAAGGCAGTATACAAGTTCATTGTTAGGGTTTACATACACTTTAACCTAATGGAGATAAAAATAATCTAATGTAATATTCAGAGAAAAAAAGTCTAATGTAATGTTTAGAAACAATACATTGCATTGAACGGAACTGGTGCTGTGGTTTTAGAGCCCCCAGCGTATGAGCTTCTGTGAAAACACACAAAAGAAGTGTTCTATTCCTTGCTGTTTTCCTTACGCAAAAGGTCATTACTAAATCTGTTACGGCAAGGCTTAGCCGGGTAAGCTTTCCTATACTAAAACAAAAATCAAGAGCCGGCCTGGCCTTTTCTGCACATCACTATGGGTCAGTACATCAGTCCGCCAGATTCAGCAGCCAACTGCAGGGTGTAGAGGGTAGGCCAGCTTTAATTTTTCTTCCAGAATTTAAGACGCCTGTGGAATTCTAGAGCAAAACTAAAACCTGCATGCCGCTACCTAAAGAGGTTGCTATACAACTCTATGAACAGTTTAGAAGCTTTGGTGTAAGTACGGTACATGTCAGGGGTGTGGAATTCGTATCGCCCGACACATCTAGTTCCGGGCAAGTGTTTTTTTTTCCACTGTTTTAGACCTGCTACGGACAAGTACCAGGGCTGGTTTTACTTTTTTTAAATGAGTTGCGTGAGCGGCGCTGCGAGCGAAGGGCGTGGAGCGCCGAGAGCGGGGCCGGAGCGTGGAGTAGTGATGGAGCAGTGACAGGCTCTGTCACCTCCTTCAGCCTCTGTCTCTGGCGGCCGCTGCTCGTTCCTGTCACAGGAGTTCTAGCACAGTGCTGTGCTAGAACTCCTGTGTTGGAGGTGACAGGGTCAGTAAAGAGAACCTGTCAACTCCAAAAGCTATCACTGTGTCATAGCACTACAGTTAAGTTTAAAAACAAAAAATAGTTTAAAAAAATAAATTAGTTTAAAATGTAACTAAATAAAAATGTTAAAAAAATAAAAAACAAATGAAGTTTTTTTACAAAGTAAATAAAAAGTAATTGCATGCGAATAAATACACAGCATTTTGAACTGCGATCGTGTGCAACCGCACGGGCAGGGCGGTATTGCAGCAGGAAAACGCGCAATCTGCCTGGCACGACTGGGGTGTAATTAGAAAATAATGGCACTGACAGCACGATCAGCGGTGGTGTGCGATCCGTGACTACCCGGTCATCGTGCACGAAACCGAGCGGGTGGCTGGGTTGTCACGGAATCGCACACCACCGCTGATCGTGCTGTCAGTGCCATTATTTTCTAATTACACCCCAGTCGTGCCAGGCAGATTGCGCGTTTTCCTGCTGCAATACCAGCCGGGCGATTCCCCACGATCACTGTTGAAAACACTGCGTGGGGCATGTCATGAAAATAGGTACATCTACCTTTTTTTCCAGCGATTGCCACGCAGATGTAACCCCATACATGCGGATGCAACCGCTGTATGCAACCGCACACGATCGCACGTCCTGGGAATCCCCAAGCCTGCACTAACCCTAAAAGGGTATATTCACTTTCCCAAGTAATTTGGGAGAATGGAATTACCCGCACAAATCTCCCTCCCACTATACTTACCTTTCAACAAACGGTCCTTCCCGTCCACCAGTACGGGTGTACTATCTGTACCTGTTCCATGTATTCTGAATTTTGCTCGCAAATTGCAAGCACTCGTTGGTCAACGCGGTCACCTGACGGCACTGACTAATGAGAAGCACTTCTTAGCACTGCTAAATACGGTTTTGGTTAAACATTATTTTTTTGTATCGGGACAAGTAGATTGTCATGAGGGACAAGTAGATTCGGACCCCGCTTTAGTCCTTGGACAAGTAGTTTTTTTTAAAAATGTCTACACCCCTGCATGTACACATTTAAAGTGAGACCGTAAACTTAGAGGAGTTAAATCTTAAAAATACATTAAAGTAACTTAACAAAAATGTATCTTATTTGGTGCATCACTCAGCTGTAGATCCTCAAAACGCTAAATGTGTGCAAACACTGTCCTTCCTTCTGGAGGGTAGCTACTTTTGTTCTCCATGGTCCCTGTGTGTTGTAAAGTAGCCACCACTACAATCTCAAAACAAATTGGTAAACAAAACATGAGATTGTAGTCCATCACAGGGGTGAACTTGGAGCTTTGCTACTTTACAACACACAGTGACCATGGGGAACAAATGTACCCACCCTCCAGAAGGAAGGACAGTGTCAGCACCAATTCAGAGATGATTTGAGGCTCTACATCTGACTGATACACAAATAAGATAATTTTTTGTTAATGGTTAAGGTACTTGAATGTATTAAGATTTAAAGGAAAACTATGAGGTGAGTGCTTTTCACTCATCTCATAGTTCTAGCCGACCTGTGACAATGAGACTGTCACAGGTCGGCTCAGTAGATCGGGAGGTGAGCGAACACATACCGGGTTCGCTCACCTCTTGATCCTGTCACGGCTCTCTGCCGTGACAGGGGGAGGGGCTGGATTCCCCTCTCCGATCTGCCAGCGCTGACTGGCGCAACGGACGGGGCGGGTACAGCTGACTCTGCCTCTAGATAGGCAGAGCCAGCTGTCACTCACGCAGCTGGGCGGTTCCAGTCATCTAAGTCAGGATCCGCTCCGGCGTCTCAGTATACCGCGAGCTGTAGCTCGCGGTATACTGAGCTTAGGGTAACGGGAGGACGTTCGTTTGTGTCCTCCCGTTACCCTAAGGAGAACTATGGGGAAAAAACACTGACCCCATAGTTCTCCTTTAACTCCTGAGTTTAGTGTCACTTTAAATAATGGGAGCAAACCTGCTGACTTAAGTTGTTTGTCCGGCTTCAGAATTTTTGAGTTACTGACCTAGAGCAAGAATGCAGATCAGGAAAGTTAGGAGTAAGAAGGCCTTATCTGCATGCCTGTTCTGGGTTAGGTAAAGAAGCATGCTCTTTAAAAATGAGTTTTCAAAATGAGAACTCTGCACCGGTAACCTACAAATTTCTCACAGCAAAGCTCTTTTACGGACAAGGACAGAAAATAGCTATTTAAATCAGGTATTTTATTATTTTAATGGAATTAAAAATTCCTAAGCGATTTAATGACAGACGTATCAGTGTCAAAAAAATAATGCTCTAATCCAATTAGACAGGCAGGCAATGTGGGCTGAATTCAAGCCAACATTTTAGTTTTTGGAGGGGTAGTGTTAAAAGGTCCTGCCAGGGTAGTTATTTTGCTTTTGCTGTGTACCATCGGGAAAATTTCCTTTTATTTTCTTCCCAGAGATGTTACAAAGTGAGTCAAATTCCCTTCTTAGTCCCCTTAGATTTCTCCTCATCAATCTTTTTTGGGGACAAGGCTAAATTATGGATTCTCCCTCTCTCTCCTTTTTTCTTGTGTATAACACCACAAATAGAGGGGTGAACAGACAGCAACAGAAAATTGACTGATGGTCTATCCCTTCCCAAAAGTAAAAAATAAATAAGAATAAAAAATACATTTTTGCCTAGAAACACTTTAGAGTAATTGTCTGACAAAAAACAAAAACAAACTTTGATCAACATCCTAACGGAATAAATTTGAGCCCAGACTGGCCATCCACTATATAAAAATCGAACAGTACAATGTCCTTTGGATTCATCAAAACTACAACCCCAATTCCAAAAATTTGGGGCACTAAAATTGACATAAAAAGAATGCAATGATTTTCAAATCTCATGAACCCATATTTTATTCATTAAGGTACTTGAATGTATTAAGATTTAAAGGAAAACTATGAGGTGAGTGCTTTTCACTCATCTCATAGTTCTAGCCGACCTGTGACAATGAGACTGTCACAGGTCGGCTCAGTAGATCGGGAGGTGAGCGAACACATACCGGGTTCGCTCACCTCTTGATCCTGTCACGGCTCTCTGCCGTGACAGGGGGAGGGGCTGGATTCCCCTCTCCGATCTGCCAGCGCTGACTGGCGCAACGGACGGGGCGGGTACAGCTGACTCTGCCTCTAGATAGGCAGAGCCAGCTGTCACTCACGCAGCTGGGCGGTTCCAGTCATCTAAGTCAGGATCCGCTCCGGCGTCTCAGTATACCGCGAGCTGTAGCTCGCGGTATACTGAGCTTAGGGTAACGGGAGGACGTTCGTTTGTGTCCTCCCGTTACCCTAAGGAGAACTATGGGGAAAAAACACTGACCCCATAGTTCTCCTTTAACTCCTGAGTTTAGTGTCACTTTAAATAATGGGAGCAAACCTGCTGACTTAAGTTGTTTGTCCGGCTTCAGAATTTTTGAGTTACTGACCTAGAGCAAGAATGCAGATCAGGAAAGTTAGGAGTAAGAAGGCCTTATCTGCATGCCTGTTCTGGGTTAGGTAAAGAAGCATGCTCTTTAAAAATGAGTTTTCAAAATGAGAACTCTGCACCGGTAACCTACAAATTTCTCACAGCAAAGCTCTTTTACGGACAAGGACAGAAAATAGCTATTTAAATCAGGTATTTTATTATTTTAATGGAATTAAAAATTCCTAAGCGATTTAATGACAGACGTATCAGTGTCAAAAAAATAATGCTCTAATCCAATTAGACAGGCAGGCAATGTGGGCTGAATTCAAGCCAACATTTTAGTTTTTGGAGGGGTAGTGTTAAAAGGTCCTGCCAGGGTAGTTATTTTGCTTTTGCTGTGTACCATCGGGAAAATTTCCTTTTATTTTCTTCCCAGAGATGTTACAAAGTGAGTCAAATTCCCTTCTTAGTCCCCTTAGATTTCTCCTCATCAATCTTTTTTGGGGACAAGGCTAAATTATGGATTCTCCCTCTCTCTCCTTTTTTCTTGTGTATAACACCACAAATAGAGGGGTGAACAGACAGCAACAGAAAATTGACTGATGGTCTATCCCTTCCCAAAAGTAAAAAATAAATAAGAATAAAAAATACATTTTTGCCTAGAAACACTTTAGAGTAATTGTCTGACAAAAAACAAAAACAAACTTTGATCAACATCCTAACGGAATAAATTTGAGCCCAGACTGGCCATCCACTATATAAAAATCGAACAGTACAATGTCCTTTGGATTCATCAAAACTACAACCCCAATTCCAAAAATTTGGGGCACTAAAATTGACATAAAAAGAATGCAATGATTTTCAAATCTCATGAACCCATATTTTATTCACAATAGAAAACATATCAAAATGTTTAAAATTGAGAAAATTAACTATTTAAAAAAATAAAAATAAAGTAATTTTGAAATAGATGGCAGCAACAAGCCTCAAAAAAAGTTGGGACAGGGCAACAAAATGCTGGCAAAGTGGTACCAACAAGAAAGGGATGGAAGAACATTTTGCAACTAATCAAGTTAATTGGCAACAGGTCAGTAACATGATTGGGTATAAAAAGAGCATCTAAAGCTCACCACACACATGACAATCTCCTTTAAGGTGCCCATACACCTGCCGATTATCGTACGATAATCGCGGGAGATCATACGATAATCGGCAGGTGCATGGACAGCGTGCAACCACTTCTGCTGTAAGGTCGCACAACATTAGTCTTCCGAGCATGCTTGAAAACCTGCCGAAAATCGTACAATTTTCGGCGGGTTGGTGGCGTGGTCGGGAGACTAATGTCGTGG